GGCATCGTCACCAGCAAGATCGCGCTTACGCTTTGAGAGCTTGGCCTTCGCGTGCACGCTGCATTTGTAGTTCTGGTCGCCAGCGTCCCGTGGGGGCCCGTGCGGGCGGAGCAACAAGGTTAATGGACGATTGCGTTTTCGACGGATGAGATTGACCCCACTTAGGGTTCCAATCGACGGTCTTTGGGGATCTAGCGAACACACCGCAAATTACCCACGACTGGGTCATGATGAATCAGCTTACATCGTAATCCTAGCGTACGTCAACCAAGTTTCGTGCACGCATTCCTTATGCGCTCGAAAGTTCGAAATTCCGAGACAGCCGCCCGGATTGTTTATGTCATGCTAGCTTGTGCCATTCGGATGCAACAGAAGACAGAATACGACACACAGAAGTGCTCACTTCACACATCAAAGCGCATGGGAAATGCCAGTGCTGAGAAGTCATTCGGCCCTGGCGACCATACGAAACAAGCGAAACACATGGCATCGCCTGAAAAGTTAAGGGGTACCTGCCAGGAGCAGAGACCGCGAAGTAAAGCCCCGATCACTTTGCCAAATGTCCTTGCGTGTTCCATGCGGTTGTTGTCGGCCGTGTGCGTCTGAAGCCGCATGAAGAATGTTGCTACTCTTGTCCAACATTTGTGTTTTACACTATCGGGGTACTTGGGTAGTCCCTTTGCCTTGAACCCTACCACCGCTAAGCCGAGCATCCGTTTGGACGCGTGGGCAGACACATTCCGCAAATAGGCGTGCAACATTGCAAACGAGCGCGGGTGGAGTGGGAGGGGGTTGGAAGAAGATCCGCACGATCAACGATAGGTCTACGTGTACGCCAAATGCGCCCGAGATGCAGTCTTTCAAAGGAGTGGTGGTGATGCCGGCCCGATGTGATTTGTTGTTTGTTATTGAAATGTGTGTATGTGTGGTTCGAAATGTTTCAGAAGGCCATCGCCACCCACATGGCAATCATGCTAAGCAGTTGCCGGAACCTGATGCTGCATAGTTGGAGACCGGTGCCACCAGATACAACGAGCAGTGGTATGTTGCTACGGTTGTGGTTGTTGTGCGAATTCTGCTTCCATCCAGGCGTTCTCATTTCTGTGCGTGGTGACGGAGGGTATGGCTCCGTTCATTGAAAATACGGGACGCGCGCGTCCCGCCCACCATGTTGATGTGTTGCCAGTTTCGTGTCACATGGGGATGTATATATATATATATGTGTGTATATACGCACTCGGAAAGGAACCCTCGGTGCCCTTGTTTTGTTTGAAGGGGGGCGAGCGGTCTTTCTACCCCAGCCTTAAAAAATGAAAGATCAGATTCGTTGGGAAGGATTGCGGCATACGCGCCCAGCAGTAGGACAGCCCTTAGGGAGATCTTCTAGAGCACCTCTTAGAGACATCTTCCAGGGCACTGCTTGATTTTACTTAAGTTTTATGGTCCCGAACTGAAAATTCAAAAACCGAAGATAGACCAAAAAACAAAAAACAAAACTGGGCAGATTTGTGGGGAGAGTCCTTCAGGGATTTGTGTTTTGTATGTTGTGTTTCCATTGTTTGTTTCGAGCTGAACACCAAAAAATGTTTGGTTCCGAGCTGTAGAAGCACAAAACAACGTTTTGTTAGTTCCAAACTGAATAACCAAAAACACGTAAGGTTGTTTTGGTTCCGACTTGCTTTGCCTGTCCTTTTAAGAGCCAAGCAAAAACACTAGGGGGAGAGTCCTCTAAGGACTTGTTTTGTGTGTTGTTATGTGTTTGCTTGTTGTTTGGTTACGAGCTGAAAACCCACCAACAATATGCCACAGCAGAACTCAAGGTGGTTTGCGTTTCGAGCTGTTTTTTTCCAGAAAAAAAGTTGGTTTGGCTCCGATCCGAAAAGTCAAAAAAATGTTTGGTTCCGAGCTGATCATATATAAATGTGTGTAAACACAAAACTGATGAGGTTGTTTGGGGGACTCCTCCAGGGAGTGTGTTGTTTGCTGTTTTCCTTCAGCGTTTTGTTCACAGCTGAAAAGCCATACAAAAACACAAGGCTTCTGTGATTCCCAATTGAAGAACAAAAACAGAAGGAAAACCAGCGGAAGAAAAACAAGGTGGAGTTTCTTGGCTTGGTGAGAGTTATCCAGGGATTGTTGTTTTGTTTGCTTGTTTTCCTGAAGTGTTTGTTGTTCGGAGCTGAACAATGAATTCATTGTGTTTTCGGTTCCCATATGAAAAGCCAGACCAAGCTAGGTACAACCAAACAAAACAAACAGACAAACACTAGAACTATGTCTGGGAGCTGACACAAAAGACCCAGCGGATCAGATCCCAAATATCAGTTCTTGATGTCGCCGCTGCTTTTCTCCGCTGGCTTGCCCTCAAACCGAGGATCGTTAAATATTCGATTTCGAGGGGGATAGTAGACAAGAGGGAGGAGAAGAAGTGAGGATCGAAGAGAGAAAAAGGAAGCAAGGAAGAGGGAAGGAGTGAAGAAGGAAGGGCAGAGCAGGGGGGGGGTAGGGAGGAAGAGGGAAGGAGGTCTTAAGAAGGAAGAACAGGAGGAAAAGTGGAGGAGGGAGGAGAGGACGAAGACAAGACGGACGCGTTTTCCGCAGCTGGGAGGAACGGGATGAATCATTCCACGATACGGAGGACTTCGGGTGGCCGATAGCGAACATTCGTAGAGCAGGACACTGGCGTGCAAATTGAAACCCGATCCGGTAGTAATGGAAACCCGAGTTGGAAACGCATATGTGTATATATATACACATATATATAGATATATACATGTATATATATACATGTATATACACATACGCATATATACATATACATAAAATAATTGAAATCTGGGCGTAAAGCCCAGAACCTCAATAATGAAAAATGCTCCGTTATGGAAACCCGTGCTCAATGTGTCTTCTTGTCTCAGTATCGTTTTCATCAATAACAAAGTATTTCGCAGTTGTCTTGTTGAACCAAACCAGACTTTTGAATACTACGGCCCCGCCCACCATAAGGTGAAACCAGGCCGTCAGTGGTGATGACATGTCCGTTCTCTAATTTTTGTAGAAAAGGAGGCAGAACAATGAAACAACAGAAGAAAGGAATATCACACAGATCATGGTCCAAAAGGTTGCGTCTTCGTGCAAGTGCAGGTCGTCGCCGTAGAATATAAAATATCAAGAGTGGGTTCGTCGTCGTGCAGGTCGTCGCCGGATGTTGAATATGTTTGATGGACACGGGTTACGGTAATAATCAGTATTTTTGCAAGTCTTTGGCGGTTGACTTTCCCGCGGTTTGTTCGGGGCCGTTTCATTATTGATTGTGGGCCTGGGGCTGTCTGCTTTTCAATGTTCGGGGTCTTGTTCAGTTTTTCTGAATTTCTTTCGGGGTCGGGCCCGGACCCGTCTGATGTTCGATTTTCGGGCGGTTTGTCATTTAGATGTTCAGGGTGTTTTTGCTAGCCCCAGGATCGTTAGGATTGAAAATGGAAGAAGAGAGCAATGAAGAGGGAAGGAGGGAGGAAGGAAGGACAGCAGAGATTAGGGAGAGAAAGGGGAAGATTTGAAGAGGAAGGGTAAGAAAAAGATGGGAAGAGGGAGGAGGGGACGAGGACCAAGACAGGACGAACGCCTGTCCTACACTGGGGGGTCCACTTTAAAAGTGCGGAAGATTTCGGATGACGGAAAAGAGAAAATCGCGAATCCGGAAACATTTGTAAACATGAAGCCCGCGTGTAAATAAGAACACGATCCAATATTGTTCGAAAGCCTTCATTTCTATGAGCAATCTAAGCGCTGAAGCCCGGCCCAAATACTTGAATAATTATTCACTGCGTGGAGCTTCCCATGTGTGCATCTGTTTGCATGGACTGGGTGTGAGTGAGTCTGTGTATGAGTATGAGGAGTACGAATCTGAGCACAAGTGAGTCTGGGACATCCTCGCAATCTGCCCCCTTGGGGTGCGAAAGCCAGTGAGTCTGAGTATGAGTATAGTGAGCACGAGTCTGAGTCTGAAGGGGTCTGAGTACGAGCGACTTCGACTACGAGTGAATCTGAGGGCGGGTGAGTCTGAGTGCCAGTGACTCTGAGCGTGAGTAAATCTGAATGTGAGTGTGCCCGAGTATGAGTATGATGGAATGAAAGTGGCCCTGGGTGGGTCTGAGTACGAGTGAGGTTGACTACGAATGAGTCTGAGGGTGGTTGGGTCTAAGTGTGAGTGAGTCTGAGTGTGCGTAAGTCTTGGTGTGAGTGAGTCTGAGTATGAGTATGATGAGCGCAAGTATGAATGAGCCTGATCACGAGCGAGTTTGTGCATAACTGAGTCTTAGGAAATCCTCGGAATCGGGGCCCTCGGAGTGCGGAAATCAACGCCTCTCCATAGACATCATCAGAATCTGTTTTGACAGCAGACGAGTCTGACCACCAAAACACGCAAACCGCTTGAGACATCCTCGAAATTTGGCCCCCCTGGGGTGCGAAAGCCAGCGCCTCGCCTGAGACATCTTCAGAATCTTCTCCGACAGCGGAGGATGTTGCGGACCAAGACACGCAAACCGCTTGAGACATCCCCACCTTTTGTGCGCGAGCAGAGGCCGTGCAATACCCCTGGCGGCCCCACCTTAGGAGTGCTAAACCCAGCAAGCCGCTCGGGACATCTTCATCTTCTGCTCATCGTCATCATCATCAGCATCATCAGCAACATCATCATCATCATCATCAGATTCATCCATCATTCACCATCACCATCATACTCACATCATACGCTCACCATGCCATGGTCATCATTATGGTATGGGTGGTCCGGCGCGGTCGGAGAATAACGAGAACCCCATCTTTTGGATTTGGGGAACAAATGTTGATCCGTGATGGAAAGATTGAAATCCGGCGCTCCGGTGCTTTAGTCTCAAGTATTGATACCATACTTCGCAACCCCGCCCACCGGTTGGATAATGCCCGCAACGGCGGTTATTCCTCCGTTCGTTTGTTTGTTTGGACGAAGAAACAAATCAAAAAAAAGAGGAAACATAAGAGATATCATAGAACAATTGTGGTGATTTGTTCATTGCCGCGCAGATCGTCACAAGTTCTTCCGTATTTTCGATCAGAAACGCCTCCGGTATGAAACCGGACATTTTTGCAATTTTTCGGTTTGTTTGCGTTCGGAGGACGCG